CCAGGGGCCCGAGGCAGGCACATGTGTGTGTGCACACATGTGCATGTGTGGTGGTAGCGGGACATAAAAGCTGTGTTGGTGCCAGTGCACTCCAGCCTGGGAGAAAGAGTGAGACCCTGTCTCTAAATTAAAACAAAAAGAAAGAAAGGAAAAAAAAAGTTTGGGCTTTTAGGCTGGTTTGTTTTTCATGGCCCCAGGGGCAGATCTTCAACCAGTGGGAAGAAGGAACAAGGAAGTAGTTGAGGTTGAAGTAGCATTTTCCAATAGTCATTCTGCATTATTTACTTCAGTCCTGATAAGATGGAAATTCTTTCTCAAGTGCATCACCAGCTCCCTGCTTCTGAGAATGGACACTTCAAAATTTGACCTTCTCTGCAGGTAACTCAAAGTCAATGTGACTGATCTCGTGCATTTTGCCAATGCCCATAGGCCCCTTTGAGGCAGGGGGAGTCAGTTTTCCACACAGGGCTGTTTAAGAGACACTAAAATGCCCTACTACAATGCCTTTTGAGTTCTTAGACTTTTAATCATGTCCCTCCCTGCCGTTAGGCTGTACTTTCTCACTGCTGTTATTCTGCCCCTCTGTAATATAATTTTTGCTACCTCAAAAATACTGTTTCTAACTTGTTATAAGCAGGAAGCCACAGTTCTGAAATTATTAGTACTCTCGTAAACTAAGAATAAATGAGTTCTGAGCGCGGGTTCCTGTGAGCCAAGTACATGACCCTTTGTCGGTGTTTGATTGAGATGTCCCCTTATGGGTTCACATGGCCCCTGTGCACAGCCCTGTCTTCCTGGATTGTCATCACTGATACACTAGCCTGTCAGGTCCCCAGGGTCAGGCACAACTTCCTGATATTTGTAGCTGCAGCGTCTGCCATGCGGTAGGAACTCAACAGATGGTGTTTGTTTGTTTGTTTTGAGACAGAGTCTCATTCTGTCACCCAGGCTGGAATGTAGTGGCGTCGTCTTGGCTCACTGCAACCTCTGCCTCCTGGGTTCAAGCGATTCTCCTGCATCAGCCTCTTGAGTGGGTAGGATTACAGGCCCGTGCCACCACCCCCAGCTAATGTTTGTATTTTTAGTAGAGACGGGGTTTCACCATCTTGGCCAGGTTAGTCTCGAACTCCTGAGCTCAGGGCCCACCTTGAGTGCTGGGATTACAGGCTCTAGCCACTGCGCCCGACCAACAGATGCTTATCAAATGAAGGGGTGGGCTTGTGGTGGCATCCATTTGGCAGCTTGGGGGTCTTGTTCTACTTTCCCTTTGCCTTCCTGGTTTGGGGTGACTGTTCCTTGGAGATAAGAGAAGTTGATGATGGCAGATTCTCAGAGAGCTAAGGCGAAACCATTTCTAGCAGTTTGAACTCCCTTTAGTCCAATGGGGGAGACAGTCCCTCCCTTTGGAATAAGCTCCCCGGGATGCCTCTGGCTTCGATGCCTCTCACTCTGGAGGAGACCTCAGTCTTAGGGTTGCGCTCTCAAAGCCTCTGTTTGTGAGCCCAATTCAGGAAGGGGTGGGGCTTCACTCCCTCTCAGCTGGGGGCTCCCTCAGGGTACCCTTGGCTTTCTCTCCCTCTCCAGGCCTCCGCTCCGTAGGGCAGGAAGAAGGTGGTGGCGGAAGGGCTGTGTGGGCCTGTAATCGTCCATGGGGTTCACGTTGTGTGCTGCCTAGACAGAGCCAATTTATCAAGATGGGAATTGCAATAGAGAAAGAGTAATTCATGCAGAGCTGGCTGTGTGGAAGACCAGAGCTTTATTATTACTTAAATTAGTCTCTCTGAGCATGTGGGGATCAGAGTTTTTAAGGACAACTTGGTGGGTGGGGGGAAGTCAGTGAGCCAGGAGTGCTGATTGGTCAGGGATGAAATCATAGAGAGTCGAAGCTGTCCTCTTGCGCTCAATCAGTTCCTGAGTGGGGGCCCCAAGATCAGATGAGCCAGTTAATCGATCTGGGTGGGGCCAGCTGATCCATCAAGTGTAGGGTCTGCAAAATATCTCAAGCACTGATCTTAGGAGCAGTTTAGGGAGCCTCCGGTGGCATGGCTCCTAAACCACAATTTCTAATCTTGTGGCTAATGTTAGTTCTACAAAGGCAATCTATTCTCCAGGCAAGAATGAGGTCTGCTTTGGGAAAGGGCTGTTACTATCTTGGTTTAACTATAAACTAAGTTTTCCCCAAAGTTAGTTCAGCCTATGCCTAATGAGCATAGGAATGAGCGGGGACAGTTTGGAGGTTAAAAGCAAGATGGAGTCAGTTAAGTTAAATCTCTTTCACTGTCTCAGTCATCATTTTGCAAAGGCAGTTTTAGGCCTCTCCCTCTCCTCCCATCACAGCCCACTGGCTCCCTGATGCTGCATGTGGTGACAAGCTGGGACCTGGGTCCAGGCCCCAGTGATTCTTGCCTCAGGCCTGGGCCGGCAGTAGGCTGGGCTGTCTTGGTTCCTGAGCCAGACTCCAGCATTTCCTGGTGGGAGAGTTTGGGACTGACATAGTGTGTCTCCCAGAAGAGTGTGCCTTTTCTCTCCCTCTGTCCCAGGCAGAAGGGCAGAAGCAGGTAACATCACTGAGGCTGTCCAGCTGCCTCACCAGGCTTCTGTGGTTTCTCAGAACCCAGGGTCTTATGATCCCTGGTCCATGGCAGAGGTGAGGATGGGAGTGAAGCCAGTTACACCACCCTCTCCTGCCTGCCCAGTGGACAAGCACAAGCCCGACGTCAGGACGCTGAGGGAGCAGCCTGGGATTCTAGGGCAGTCGTTCCGGGCAGGAGCCTCTCTGAGTGTGTCGGCACAGCCCTGGCCAGTCTAGCAGATGGACTCCGGTGGCAGGGGCTGGGGAGCAGAAGGGGAGAGGGGAAGCTGGCCTCCAGCCCAGCAGAAGCACCCCCACCAAAGGGGTGGTGGAGGGCTGAAGATAAGCTCAGCACCCGTTCTCGTCACCAACAGGCCATAGGTGCCCAGGAAAACGAGCAATCAGAGACCAGAGCATTGATAAAAGTGACTTTATTGAGTTGTCCAGGGATGTTCTGCGGTCTCCTCACTTCTCCCACCCAGCTCTCCAGTCACCTGTCCCCAGCTCAGTCGTAGAGACCACCTTTCCCCCACGAGAAGGAGCTCAGGAAACTCAGCAGTGTATAAAGGAGAAGACGGAGAGAGATTGGGACTCTCTGGATAGGGACCCTGAGCCGGAGGAGGGGATCCCCAATAGAGGGCACAGGAACAGGAGGAACCTGGGGACAAGAGAAGCAAGAAGCCAGGGGAGGCTCTCAGTGGATGCTCTCAGTAGAGGCAGAGGGAGAAGAGAGGAGGAGCCCACAGTGTCCTTTTTTTTTTTTTTTGAGACGGAGTCTCGCTCTGTCGCCCAGGCTGGAGTGCAGTGGCGCGATCTCGGCTCACTGCAAGCTCCGCCTCCCGGGTTCACGCCATTCTCCTGCCTCAGTCTCCCAAGTAGCTTGGACTACAGGCACCCGCCACCACGCCTGGCCAATTATTTGTATTTTTAGTAGAGACAGGGTTTCACCATGTTAGCTGGGATGGTCTCGATCTTCTGACCTCGTGATCTGCCTGCCTTGGCCTCCCAAAGTGCTGGGATTACAGGTGTGAACCACCACACCCGGCCCACAGTGTCATTTTAAATCTGGCCACAGCCTGGCTTTTGACCTCCCCTCCAGTTTGGTCCCACCCACCCTTCCCTTGCACCTCTTTGCACCCTCTCTTCCAGCCCCAGGATGAGTCTTGCTGCTGCCCAGACATTCTGAGTTGTTTCACATCTTCCTTACCTTGTTCACACCTTTCATCTAGGGACCCTCTCTCCTCTCTTTTCTGTCCAAAACTCTCCCTTTTTTTTTTTTTTTTTTTTTTAGAGAAGGTCTTGATCTGTGGCCCAGGTTGGAGTGCAGTGGCATGATCTTGGCTCACTGCAGCCTCCACCTCCTGGGATCAAGTGATTCTCCTGCCTCAGCCTCATGAGTAGCTGGGGTTACAGATGCCTGCCACCACGCCCGGCTAATTTTTTGTATTTTTAGTAGAGACGGGTTCCTTGGAGGTGAGAGAGGTTGATGATGTCAGATTCTTAGAGAGCTAAGGCGAAATCATTTCTAGCAGTTTGAACTCCCTTTAGTCCAATGGGGGAAGCAGTCCCTCTCTTTGGAATAAGCTCCCTGGGATGCCTCTGGCTTTGATGCCCCTCACTCTGTAGGAGACCTCAGTCTTTTTTTTTTTTTTTTTTTTTTTTTTTTTGAGACAGAGTCTCGCTCTGTCGCCCAGGCTGGAGTGCAGTGGCCGGATCTCAGCTCACTGCAAGCTCCGCCTCCCAGGTTCACGCCATTCTCCTGCCTCAGCCTCCCGAGTAGCTGGGACTACAGGCGCCCGCCACCTCGCCCGGCTGGTTTTTTGTATTTTTTAGTAGAGACGGGGTTTCACCGTGTTATCCAGGATGGTCTCGATCTCCTGACCTCGTGATCCACCCGTCTTGGCCTCCCAAAGTGCTGGGATTACAGGCGTGAGCCACCGCGCCCGGCCTGAGACCTCAGTATTAGGATTGCGCTTTTGAAGCCTCTGTTTGTGAGTCCAGTTCAGGAAGGGGTGGGGCTTCACTCCCCCTCAGCTGGGGGCTCCCTCAGGGTACCCTTGGCTTTCTCTCCCTCTCCAGGCCTCCGCTCCGTAGGGCAGGAAGAAGGTGGTGGCGGAAGGGCTGTGTAGGCCTGTAATGATCTGAGGGGTTCATGTTGCATGCTGCCTTGGGTGATCCACCCACCTGAGTCAGTTCAGGCCGGGCGCGGTGTCTCACGCCTGTAATCCCAGCACTTTGGGAGGCCAAGGCGGGCAGATCACGAGGTCAAGAGATCGAGACCATCCTGGCCAACATGGTGAAACCTCAACTCTACTAAAAAGTACAAAAATTAGCTGGGTGTGGTGGCGCACGCCTGTAGTCCCAGCTACTGGGGAGGCTGAGGCGGAGAATCACTTGAACCTGGGAGGCAGAGGTTGCAGTGAGCCGAGATCCTACCACTGCATTCCAGTCTGGCGACACAGCAAGACTCCATCTCAAAGAAAAAAAGAAAGAGAAAAAAAGAATCAGTTCAAACATCCTACAGCGAAGCCTTTGAAATTGCCCGGGGCCAGGTGCAGGCTCTCTCCTCAACCTGCCCCCCACAGCCCCTCCTCTCTTGCTCCCACCCCACCTGCTGTCATTCTCTGTTCTGGGGAGTCTAGCACAATCCAGGCACAGAGTAGGCACAAAAAAACTCCAGGCACCAAAGATGGTGTTGGTTAAGATGACACAGAGAGAGAGAGAGAGAGAGAGAGCGCCAGCGCAGGTATTTAGGGGGAATAAAGGAGGGAGGGGTGGGATGGGCTTGGGGGCAGGGGTGAAGCTGCACAGGAGGCAGAGGGGGCCAGAGGAGAGGGCACAGGGGTAGGAGTGTGGGGTGTGGCTGGAGGAGCATCCTGGGTCATCAGACCACTGTGCTGAGGATGGAGGAATCTTCAGAACGCACGGGCAGCACTGGGGCCTGCTTGAGGGAGCGCCGGGTCTCATCTCGGTTCTGCCACACATAACGCACCAGATAAGCCACCACGAGTGTCAGCCAGCCCCCCATGGTGACCAGCAGGGCCACATCGGTGCTCCTCCGGGCCCCGCCCCGCCCTGCCCAACACAGCTCTTCCTCCCCTGCCAGCAGCAGGAACTCCTGCCCCACGAGGTCCGGTCGGGCTCCTGGGCCACACACGATGCCTGTCCCAGTGCCTGGCGCCAGCCTCACCTGCCGGAGTACTTCCTGGAGGGCGCAGTCGCAGTGCCATGGGTTGGCGGATAGGTTCACTTGGATCTGTAGTCCCACAAAGGCCTCCACGGGCACCGAGGCCAGCTGGTTGGCAGAGAGGTCGAGGTGGCGCAGCGTGCCCTCCAGGCCCTGGAAAGCCGCCCCTGAGAGGTGGGCAAGGGCATTATGGGACAGATCCAGCTCCTCCAGGACAGGCAGGTTCTGGAAGGCACCAGCAGGCACAGATGCCAGCTGGTTGGCATCGAGGTAGAGCTTGCGGGTGTTGTTGGGGATGCCAGAGGGCACAGACCTCAGACCTGCCTGGCTGCAGCGGAACGTCTGTTCACCTGCTTCCTTTGCCACATAGCAGCCCCGGGGAGGCACCAGGGGGCTGGGCACAGTACCCCCTGTGCCTATCATCAGCAGGAGGGACAGGAGGTGACCTGCTGTTGGGAGCATGGCCATAAATTGGCATAGTCCTGGAGTGGAGTAGGATCTGGGGAAGAAGAGGCCACATAAAAGAAGAGTGAGTCAAGAGAATCGCATGCCCCACTGCCAGCTTTCTCCTCCTGAGGTCCCTCTGGGGAGTGTCTTTGGGCCGGGGCCTCTTCTCTGGGGGCTTCTCTCAAGCCTGGGTGACTTTTTCACTTCCTTCTTGGGGTCTCTCTTGATTTAAGGCTCCTCAATAGGGTCTTTTGGGTAAAGGGTCTTTTGCGCTTGAAACTCTTTTAGGGGCTGTTGATTCTAGAAGGTTAATCTATGAGGCCTTGTTGGCCATTCTGGGTCTTTGGGTTTCTAAGTTTCTGCCTCTGTCCATGTATTGATTCCTGTCATCGGAATAAAGTCTTCTTCCCCTACCTACCTGGGAGGCTGCCAAGTGGGCTAGGTAGACACCAGAAGGTCTAGTTGGCACTTGTGTGATGGAGACAAGGGGGACAGATGAGCGATAGGGTGTCAGGGCGTCCAGCTAGGCCAGGTGACTAGGTAAAATGGACCTCTGACCCCACCTTCTATGCCCTTCTACCCCTTTTCTGGGAGCATCCACCCCTCTGCCTGCCCCAGCTCTGTCCTCTCTGCTCTGCACTTTTTCCCTCCTCCTCCCCGTCCTCCTCCATTCTTCTCACCCCTGTTGGTGGCAGAGCCTTCTCGAGTGCGGGTGCCCTCTCCCTGGATGGAGGCTCCCTGCTGCTGGGCTCTGGAGACCCACTTCCTCCTCCAGAAGCCCTGTTTGCTCGCAGCTGCTGGAAGTTGGGGGCTGGGACCCAAGAGTGTTGGGTTTCCTGGCATGTGACTCCGGGCCCAGGTGTCGGATACCTGAGCCATGGTGTGGCCAGGCAATGCCAAGAGAGGGCAGATCCTGGACCCTGATGAACTCTGTCGTGGGGAGACCAGGCCCCAGTTCCATTCCCTGCACCAGGCTCCCCTCCCAAGGTCTTGATGCTGCCATCTTCCATCACTCCTCAAGGCTGAAACTCTGCTTCCCAGAACCCTTCTTCCTTACCCAGAACCTGACTGGGCAGAAGGATCCCTTCGTGGCATGCCTGGCAGGCAGAACTGGGTGGGCCCCATCTCACATCCACTGTCTCCAGCAACCAGTATCCCCCCAACTCCATTCCTCCCCCTATCCCCTTCTGCCCTTCTTCCACGCTCAGTGGCCCCTTCTTCCTTGGTGAGCAAACTTCCCCTAGCCTTTCCTTGGAAAACATGTCTGTCTGGGGTTCCTCATCTCCTGGCTCCTCACCGTGCCCAGCCCTCTTGCCTGCCAGAGGTGCTGTAGTTCAACTTTAGTTTGTTCTCTGTGTGGTGGATTGATTGCCTCTCTAGGAGTTGGAAGTTCTTTAAGGCACCTGAAGACTGATGTGGTTGTCTCTGAGTTTTCCTGCTGATTTTATGATCTGGATGAGAACTGACTCAGGTTCTCTCAGTTTGCTGGAGCCCCGGACTCTCAGGTTGGCACTTTGAATTCTCCCTCAGGCCTGGGCACCAAAGAAGGCTTGGATGACTTGATCCTCCAGGGCGTCCCTACCCCAGGCATCATTTGCAGGCCATGCCACTCCTTGATACCACCCTCTCCTAATGTTCACTGGGTAGTGGGAAAGAAGGATTTCAAGGCAGAAGATGAGATTCATGTGTGACCGTAGGGTTGGGAGGACCCGCCAGGGTTGAGTTGATGTGAAGGTACTTTGTGAAGTGCTGTGCAAAGGCTAGTTGTTAGGATTACTGACTTCCAGAACACATCATGGTCTTCCTCCATGATTTCATTACCCACGCCAGGCTCTTCCCCTCCACTTCCTCTCGTATGCTATGCAGGGGCAGGGATGACAAGGGGTCATAGATGTGATCCATGTGGATGACCCATCTCATTTCTTAGCCCATGGTGGCTTATCCCCTGCAATTCCCTTGACCCTCAAGTCCAACCACATGATGCCTCCTGTGGCACCATCCTACCTACAGTATCTCCAGTTCGGTGCTGGGATTCAGAGCCTCAATGATTGATAGAGCTCAAAGGAAGGGACCAGCCAGTTGAACCCTCCTTAGTTTGCAGACAGGTAAACTGAGGCCCAGAATGTGACCCGAGTTACACAGTGTCAGTACCACAGCCCAGTTTTCTGACTCTTTGTCCAACCACTTTTCATTGCCTGCTAGCAGCTGTTACCTCTGTGCCACGCTTACCAATACCCTACATCCTTGCATGTTGAGCCTGATGGTACCCACGGTATTGTATTGTATGGAACCTGGAAGCCCTCCTGCCAGGTCAAAGAGGTGGAAGAGAACGGGAGAGTGGGGTGTCACAAAGACTAGGAAGGATATACTTATGCCAAGGAAGATGAGGTCACACGCATTGGAGATCTTTCTGAGAAGGATTTTTCTTGCTGGATTTTGCAAGACTATGGGTGACCAGGACTGGACATGGAATTGTAGAGCTCAGTCCAAAATAAAAATGGGGCGTGTGTGGGGGGGGTCCCTTGTTTCAAAAGCCTGTTAAGAATTTCTTCCTTTTTTTTTTTTTTTTTTTAAGATAGAGTCTCACTCTGTGGCCCAGGCTGGAGTGCAGTGCTATAACCTCGGCTCACTGCAACCTCTGCCTCCCAGGTTAAAACGATTCTCCTGCTTCAGGCACCCAAGTAGCTAAGACTACAGGTGCCTGCCACCATACCCAGCTAATTTTTGTATTTTTAGTAGAGACAGGGATTCACCATATTGACCAGGCTGGTCTCAAACTCCTGACCTCAAGTGATCCACCCACCTTGGCCTCAAAAAGTGCTGGGATTACAGGTGTGAGCCACCACGCCCAGGTGAAAGCTGTTAAGAATTTCAAGGCCTTGCCAGGTGTGGTGGCTCACGTCTGTAATCCTAGCTCTTTGGGAGGCCAAAGTGGGTGGATCACTTGAGGCCAAGAGTTTGAGACCAGCCTGACCAACATGGCGAAACACCATCTCTACTAAAAATACAAAAAATTAACTGGGCTGCGGTGGTGCACACCTGTAATCCCAGCTATTTGGGAGGCTGAGGCACGAGAATCACTTGAACCCAGGAGGCAGAGGTTTCATTGAGCTAAGATTGCGCCTCTTCACCACAGCCTAGGTGACGCATCAAGGCCCTGTCTCAAAAAAAAAAAAAAAAAAGAATTTCAAGGCTGGGTGCAGTGGCTCATGCCTATAATCTCAGCACTTTGGGTGGCCAAGGATCAAGGAGCCTCACGAGTTTGAGACTGGCCTGTGCAACATAGTAAAACCTCATCTCTACCAAAACAAACAAACAAAAAATTGTCCAAATACAGTTTCTACGAAAAGAAAAAATAAATCAACGGACCATGGTGGCACATAGGCACATACTTGTATTCCTAGCTACTCGGGAGGCTGAGGTGGGAGGATGGCTTGAGCCTGGGAAGTGGAGGCTACAGTGAGCTGTGATTGCACCACTGCACTCTAGCCTGGGTGACAGTGTGCGACTCTGTCTCTAAAAAATAAAAATAAAAAAGAATTTCAAGATGACGACAGCAGCACAGTGTAAAACCAAGTTGCAGGGCTCTTCTGAGCACAGGGCATGAGGTCTTGTGGGACCTCGTCGGCTGCATGCCTGTGAGGCTGGCCCTGCAGGTTACCTTTGAACAAGCAGTTTTAGAAGCGTGATGGGGACTAGATCAGATGGTAGGATACCAGATGATATCATCTCTGAGGATGTACTCACCACAGACTCATTTCTGTGATATCAACAGGGGCATTTTGCAGACTCACATTTGTCTAAGGAATCAGATAACTTCCTACACTTAGGCAGGAGAAGCAACAAGCAATCCTTTTCTCTGAGGGTTACTTGTCAATAAGGCCAGACACTCTGCTGCTGGCTACTTGGGTGTCCATTTTGGGACTGTCGCTGAATGTGGGACAGAAAGCTGATCAATCCTCCCTTTCCCCCTGTTCCTCTCTCACACTGGGCAGGGGATTTAACTGAGGCGCGAGAATTCAGCCTGGCTGTTGATGGAGGGTTATTTCCTTCTAAGACTAGGGCAGCTTCCAGGAAAACAGTGGGACTAGGGTGTCCAGCACAGCAGCTGTGGGAGAAGCAGGAGCCCAGCCGGAGCTGTGGATATGGCTAATTAAGGAAGGCTGAGTGCAGACTCAGTAAAGGAGGGAGATCTGAGGCGAGGGAGGAACCACACTTAGGACAGTGCACACTGCAGACTAGGGACTGCAGAGTTGGAGCAGAAATTCTCTGCCATTCATTTATTTGTTTATTCATTCAGTGAGGATTTCCTGTGAGCCTTGTATGCTAGTCGAAGGAAACATAGACAGGGTTCTTAAGGTGCTGGGTCTATGTCAGGGTTCTCAAAACACCCTGCACATTCAAATCACTTGGGGAGCTTTTACAAATTAGTTATGCTGGGGTTTCATCTGGACCAATTACATTAAAATCGCTGTGCATGGGGTCTAGGCACTGGTTTCTTTCAAAGGTCCCCAGATATGTCTAACGTGCAGCCTGGGTTGAGAATTGTTGGTCTGGAGGGAGACACAGACATGTCTCCACAATGCTTTGATGTGATGCCTGCATTAATTGATGTTTCTACAAGGAGCTGTGAAGCATAGAGAGAATAAGTATTAATAACATGGCAGAACTATCCCTTCCCTCCTACTACCAGATAACACACATGGCTTTGGGAGTGGCAATGCACTCAGTCCTTGACAATTCAACCTGATTGATCTTCTCAGCCATCAGAAATCGTGTTGCCTACTTCTCCAATCTCCTTTGCAGCTGAGGGCGGCCCAATTCTGGTCAATGGCATCTAAGCAGAAGTTTGCAGAATAGGTTTGTGGGACAGTCTTTGATTTGCTGGTAAGAGAGGATGGGGCTGGGGTTCTGCTCTTCTCCGTACTTTTTTTTTTTTTTTTTTTTTTTTTTGAGATGGAGTCTCTGTCACCCAGGCTGGAGTGCAATAGTGCGATCTCGGTTCACTACAACCTTCACTTCCCGGATTCAAGCAATTCTCCTGCCTCAGCCTCCTGAATAGCTGGGATTACAGGCCTGCACCACCACACCTAGGTAATTTTTGTATTTTTAGAAGAGATGAGGTTTCGTCATGTTGGCCAGGCTGGTCTTGAACACCTAACCTCAGGTGATCTACCTTCCATGGCCTCCCAAAGTGTGGGATTACAGGCATGAGCCACTGCACTGGCCTTTTTTTTTTTTTTGACAGAGGGTGTCACTGTGTTGCCCAGGCTGGAGTGCAATGGTACAAACACAGCTCACTGCAGCCTTGACCCCCACCAAACTCAATTAATCCTCCTGCCTCAGCCTCCTGTGTAGCTGGGACCACAGACATGTGCCA